ACATTTCAGTGTCTCCATTAAACTCAACCAGCATGTTTTTGACCAGGTGAAAGAACATTTAAAGTAAAATCCAAGATCCCAGCTCAAGTAACTTTAACAATAATGTTCTGTGAAGGACAGAGATGAATGACCTATTTGCTATTAACAAGGATTAAAGGACCTGATAGTTTGGGCCAAGCTGTATGTTTATGCTCCCACTTTCATTTTCCAGTTGGCTTCTGGAGATTTCCGAGGTTTCTTGCCTCGAGTGATCCTTGAATTCTTCCTGCATCACTTCTTTGTTAGCAGAAATATTCACCCCAACTGCTCTCATAAGGCGCCCATCACCACTGTGACCACTATCCTTTCCTTTCTGCCAAAAGATGATAACTCACGAAGAGCACATGGTTGTAATTACAGCCTTCGCCGTTTCCACAGCGGAGAACTCTTGCCATGCAGAAACTTACCACTGCAAGAGAAAACAGTCTCACAGCTCAAGGAAGTCAAAAGTTGTTGAAAACCATAAAAAAAAAGAAGACATGAGAGCAGAAAGTCAACAAAATGAGATATGGCAGTGAAGAGAGGTATCAATTTCTGACTCAGATGTTAATGCATGAGAAGGGAAGCAGATGTTTCACCCCACAGACAGGCCATTTGGTCACACAGGTTCTCAGCAAAACACTTGTCAAACCCCAACGCCTCACAGCAGATAAGGCTCATCACTCCTCACACCATCCATAGAGCCAGGCACATCCCTTCTGTCAAAAAAAGAAGTTTTAACCTCTTTAGTTCGACTCCAAATGAAAGATGGAAAATCTGCATGTCATCAGCCTTCTCCTGATAAACCAGAAGTTTTAGTTTTGCGATAATCAGACAAAACTTTTTTTTCTTACTTATCCAGGTTGAACTTTAAAGTTCAAACGCAGACTGAAGTATTTCTCAGTGATTGATTTCAGCCTTGAAAACAGCTTTTAAAGTCACGTTGGGGGACTAATGAAGTATGTCTGCTGTAAGTGAGGATTATGGATGTTGGTTTAACAGAGTCTGGATTTCAGTTTCATGAGAACAGATTATCAGGCCGTCTCTGCGTCTGTGTTGCGTCTTGCTGAGGAGACACAGAGGATATTCTGATACAGCCGAGCAAAAGACAACAAACTGAAATACCCGACCACGTTCGGGTTTCAAAGCATTACTGCGTCCAGTTTGGCTTGAGATACTTTTCTTTAAACTAAACCGATATTGAAACTCATAGTGCAGATATTAGAAGTACTACAGGCAGACAAAAAAAAAGCAGATGAAACCTTTATTCAACTCAACAAACCAGCCTAATTAATTCAAATGTATTCTATTTAACTCATCTGTAAATGCCATTTTACAAAGTGAATTCCTACAACTTGAGCAGAACTGGGAGAATCAGCAGACAAAAATGAACACATAAGCAGACATTACATCATACTTTGTTGGAGTAAAAATTTGAAGAACGATTTCCAGTTTAAACGAAGCAAAAATATGCTCACTCAAAGCAAATTTAGTGAAATTAGGTGTTTAACGGATGTCAACTTTTGAGATGTATTTACTAATTAGCTTCTTCAGGAGCGCCTGCCTTCGACTTCAACAGAAAAACTAGCAGAGACACTGAAAACGACTCACGTGCATCTCAGATGCAACTTAAATATGTGTGGATTTTTTTTAAACTTTAATTCAAAAATACTTTAATATACAGTCAAGGCCAAAATTGTAAAAGTACATTCCAGTGGTAGATTTAGAGGTAATGTTTGTTTACAAACAGGGATGAGGCAGTCCATTGTCTCCCCTGAAAAACATCACAAACATTACTCACATTTTTAATTAAAAAAAATTCATCATCTTATTCAAAAGCCAATGAAATAACAGCAATAAAACTATTATTGTTTTCTATCCAGCTTTTTGCATATTTCTGCTGGTATTCTACCAATTTACCTTGAGTAAAGAGCTTCAGGTCTATGAAGTTGGATGACCTCCCTGACATCACCCTAATCTTTAGCTCTGTCCACAAATTTTCTATTAGATTCAAAGAAGGACTTTGACTGGGTCATTCTAAAATATTATGTTCAATAGGTTAGGAACCACAACCACCTGCGAAAAGCTAAAATCCACAAATACCTGACTGCCTATTTTTAATAGATCAAACACCAAATATACCTTAATATTCATTAAAACTATTTTTTTAGAGGATGTTACATATTTGTTGATCAGTTGTTCACGGGCAACTGTCTTTATGTTCACAGTCTTTATGAAAACAAAGATTATAAAAGGAAAATGTATCTAATTTTTCTTCATCTCAAAATATCTGAAAGATGGATGATTGATCAGTTACAGACAAGAAACTCCAGTCTATTCACAAACGTAGACATCTGGGGTTTAGCATCGAAGTCCAGCACAAAACGATTTATAACATGTCCACAGCTGAGTGGCAGAAGGCACAGATCAGTGACTGCGGACAGAGGACAGAGCAGGTGGACTTCATCACAGAAAGAGCAGCCGCGGCACATTCAATAGCCTTGATGCAGGTGTGTACTTCACTCCTTGTCCAATAGTACGGCATATATCACTGTCTGTGGAGTGAAAACAGATTTCTCAAACTCCACTGTGCATCATATATATCTCTCAAGCAGATCACTGCAACCTGTAAAGCTGCAGGAAATACCACAGCTTTAACTAAGCCTGTATCTGTGTCTCCAGGTCCTGCTCCCTGGGACTCGCACTCCTAAATGTCTTTTTTTTTTTTTTTCTGACTAAACTTTCTCCAACACCATTGATTTAATTGAACAAATTACCTTAAGAGCTGGATAATACTTGCCAACTTCAATCAACGACTGATCGATGCATCATCGCAATATGTATTAAATAATGCTACATTACTAAAACATGTAATACTTCAAATATTCCAACCTCACCAGGACACGTAAAGCTCCTTTTTAAACGCACAAATTCCCCTAAGAATTAATTGACACGTCTTTAAAACCTGTTCTATTCTCAGCACTGTAAAATAAATTTATACTGACAAAAAAAACATTAAGTTGGTGCCCGTTTTAAAAAAGGTAAAAGAAAGTGGTCCAGCTTAAAAATAGTAATATCTTAGAGTTGTTTTGTGCTGCTCAACTAGATCAGTTTCCACGGCATTTTGTTGGCACCAGAGAACGATCCGGCTGCACTCCTCTAACATGCTGCTACTGGGGAAACCAGAAACGTCTGTTTGGTTTGTGTTTCCTTGGTCAAGCTCTGCTCTACATCAACAAGAAACACAGTTTATGGTTCAGTAATGGCACAAAACTGTTTAGGATTCGGGTTTCCTTGGAGAACAGTTGCTGAGTGGATATATTTGCATAAAGCTGCTCCACATTTTATGGTATATATATATATATATATATATATATATATATATATATATATATATATATATATATATATAATACCTTAAAATAAATCTTATTAGAATAAAATTCCACTGAAAAATTCTGGAAGGTTCAACTTTTTTAATTTGAGTATAGTTATTCATAAAAAGTTATGTTAAAAAATAATTTTATTCAAAGAAGTCACCAAGCCTTAAAATTGAGGCTTTTTGTGCACACATTTTTCAGTTGAGCAGATGTCTTTTAGTTTAACTTGGTTGTAAAAATATGACATGACTCAGGGGTAAAACTTCTCCTAGCCACTCCTAAAAATGTGAAAAACAGGAAAACAATCATTTAAAGAAAATACAAACATGTGTGTTGATCTTCAGAATTAAGAAAATAGCTTCTCTCCATATTTAGAGTTGGAGGAAAAACTTTAATTGTTCAAATGATGGACAGAAGAGACTCAAAGAACATAAGAAAGCGGTAGTGCTTAAATGGGTTCCACAGTTTGTACTAATAGTAATAAACGTGTTATACCTTAATATGCATTAACATGCAGATTGGGCATCGTCTGGGCTCTACCACAGAAGCTAACCTCTGCTCTTGGGTTTTCAGCCAATCAGTGCTAAGGAAAGTAAATGGTGCTTCTGGATTGGCTGCTTTGTAAACGCCAGTCAATAGTGAGTGAAGTAGCATTGCATCTAGATACCTCAACTTTTCAAACTGCATTTTGTTTCAGATATTTTAGATATGCTCTATGAAAAGACACAATTTTTTCACAAATATTTTAGAGTTAAAAATCGGTGCAAATATGTAAACCGTAGAGTAATACTTCAACAAATCTCAAACTGTCCTATAACAAGTACGTAGTCACTGCAGAAATCAAATAAGCAATAGAAAACTTCAATTTTTATATGTTTGGGATTTTTTTGTGGCGCCCCCAGTTTGTGGTGCCCTGGGTGGAGAGTCATATTGCTCATGTCATGACCCCTGTCAGTATGTACTGAAATCAAATGTTATCTTTGATTCTGGTTTACAACCTGAAACATGTTGATCCTACTCTCCAAATGTCACAATAACTCACAGCTGCTTCTATTAAATTATCTATTTTCATGCATCTCCTATTTTAGTCTTGGAGAATCATTCAAATCCCCAATGATGCAACTTATTGGATTCACTGCCTAATCAGAGGCTTTTCAATGTATTCTCTAGGATTCGTGAGATTGGATTCAAGCTTTATGAAAAGTCTCACATTTGCAGCCGTGAAAAGAAAAGGGGTTTGAGTATTTCACGCTCCTTTATCTGCTCTCGAATCATTCTCATTTTACCAGGAGGATTTAAAATGGGAATCCTAATCACCTCTGAAAAACATCCTCACTCTGAGATTGTGTCTTAGGGAAATATTGAATTTCCACACCTGAAGCTACCATTTGCAGTCATTATGAAAAGTAGTTTTTTTTGTAATAATAGGATAAATCTTCCTTCATTTGCATATTTTCCATAAAATGATTGGAGCTTTTAATCTTCCACCGTCTTCTGAAATTACATATAAATCATCTGTAATTCTAGGTTTTATTTGTTTGAAAATGTCAGCCTTCTTTGCCCTTTTGAATGACTGTTGTTTGTCAATGTGTCTCTCTGCAGGTGTGATCCGTGAGAGCTACCAGAAGGGTCGTGACCAGCTGGTTCCCGTGACCCTGTTGGCCATAGCCGTCATCTTGGCTTTTGCGATGGGCGCCATCTTCTCAGGTCTTATCGTCTACTGCGTCTGTGACCACCGGCGGCGAGATCTGGATCTGACAGGTCGCAAGGAGAAGGACAGCCTGCATCTCCACTCCCGCCGCGGGTCGATGAACAGCGTGACCAAGCTGACCGGTCTGTTTGAGACGCAGGCCAAAGATGGCCGCCCGGAGGCAATTCTCACCCCTTTGATGCACAATGGGCGACTGACGCCAAATGCCAAGATGCTGATAAAAGCCGACCAGCACCACCTGGACCTCGCTGCTCTGCCAACGCCTGAATCCACGCCGATGCAGCCGCGTCGCAAGCCCAGCCGTGGAAGCCGTGAGTGGGAAAGAAATCAGAACCTCATCAACGCTTGTACCAAGGACATGCCGCCTATCGGGTCTCCTGTCATCTCCACAGACTTGCCCCTGAGGGCTTCACCTGGTCACATCCCCAGCGTTGTCGTTTTGCCTTTGCCGCAGCATCAGCATCAGCTTCCGCCTCACCTGCAGCAGTCCTACCAGCACGAGTATGTGGAGCAGCCCCATCACAGCGACCTGGGCATGGCCCACGGCGTCATGGAAGACCAAGGGGCCACCTTGGAGTACAAGCCAGGAAAGAGCCACATGATGGATGCAGACGGGATGCTTCCACCTCGCGTTCCCCAGCGAGAGGCATCCCTCACCGTCCCTCCTGCCGTCCCACAGATGGGCAAACGTCTGGAGGTCCACTCGTCAGTGTACGGCCTCCGGAAAGGATCAGCATCTTCTGCTTCTGGATCCTCAGCACTGAAGAAGCACAACACCAACTCATCCAACTCCTCCCATTTGTCGAGACATCACAGCTTCCGTGTGGAGACCCCGCCGCCCGCCCCCCAGAGGGTGGACTCCATACAAATGACAACGCAGGGCATATCGCTCTCTCGGCAGCCTGGGATGATCACTTACGGCTCGCTGCCTCGAACGGGCAGCAAACACCTCAAACCCGACGTTCCCCCGAAACCCTCCGTAGTCTCTCTCTCAACAAAAGCAAAGTCCAGTGACTCCGGCACATAGTCAGCTCATAACCCATTTAAGCCAGACTGAACAGACAGAAGCTAAAGGTGTTTTCAGACAGAAGAAACAGGGACTACTGTACAACTTGCATCTCCTTTTAGTGCATTTGTTTGTTTTTGGTGGAAATTCACAGATTTTGTTTTTAAATAATTTGTTTTGATATAAATATGTAAATATCCAATGGATGTTGTCTGTTGTTGAGCTCAGATCAGCTCCCAGTTTGTCTGTAAACACAAAGAGGAAGATGTACTCCTGAGAGAGGAAGTGAAGCCTGTCCTGGTATTTCACATATCGGCACCCTGTAGCATTCAAGATGGTGGCTCCCCTGTTTGTAGAGTCTTCAGCCACCCGGACTTGACTTATCATACGTTATCGTGCCGATGGACGGTGAGCGTACAGGGGTCAGGGGACGGAGAATAATCAATGTACAGAAGCACTCAGAGAGACTGGATTCAGACTGAGTCCTGTTGGAAACTGTGAAGAGAGTCTCAGTGTTACAGCAATCAAGACCTGGGTGGGTTCTGCTGAGGCCCGGCCAGAAGAATCTCCTACTGTACTGAACAATACGTGACTGTTAATACTAATAGCCTGTTGTATTTATTTTTATTAAGTGCTTTAAAAGAACAAACTGACTTTCTAGGCTTGGACAGAGAGAGGAGACAACGAAGAGGTCTTTTAATAATAATTAATCAAGTGAGGAAAAAAAAAATATTTAAAGTCATTAAACTGGAGCCAGTAGAACTTTTCTTGTAGACTTTAAAAAAAGGTCTCACTGCAGCTCGAGATACGACGAAGACAACGAGGTGGAGATATTTATTTAAACTGTGCCAGAACAGACTTTTACTTTTTCCTACCAGAATTTCCATTGTTTTCAACCAATCAAGATGAAAAAAAGAGAAAAAAAGATCTCCAAAATCTCTCCCTTTCACTCCTCCACCAAGCAAACCCTCGACCCTCCCCTCCAATCAGCACTGTGGTTTTTTTTTCGTCTGAGTCCAAAACATTCGTCCTGATTAACTCACTGTTGCATGTTACACATAAAAGGAAGAGGCGCAGCAACAGTGCAGGAATCAGTGCTCAAAACTAAGCTAAACGTTGCGACAGAGCGACGCCGGTCCAGCGCGGCGCCACGTGGACGAGCAGGCGGAGAAAAAAATGGAAACAAAAAGAAGAAAAAAAAAAAAAAAAGAAAAACTTTTTATCGTCTGCTTATTTTTCCACATGTAAATTTGTGCCTTACACCCTAAAGTAGTGACAATGTTTTTCTTTAATAGTTGTTAACTTTGTGTCTTTGTTGTATTCCTTTTCTTGTTTTTATTTTCTTACGTCATGATATTTCCCTTGTTTGATAAAAATGCAGTAAAAGAATGTAGGTGTTATTGTTGTAATTCTGGTCCCTTAGACATTAACACAGTTAACAGGTCAGACGGAGGAGAGGAAGGAGCGATCACTTTCTTCTTTTTTTACTCTTTCTGCACACACACTCACTCAATCATCTTAGTGGTTCATTTCTGACTGTGCCATTAACGCGCTTTGAGCCGCCGCCGTTCATGTTGTGTTGGCATTGTCTGCAATTCTTTTTCTTCTTTTTTTCTTTTTTTATACAAGCTAAACGTTCCTGATGTTGGTTTTTATTCATTTTTGTTGTTTGGTGTGATGACCAGAACAGTTAAGATTTGCTACGAGTTGAGAAGGGCGAGGTAGCTTTCCGGTGCATTGCAATAATACTGCAACAACAGCACCGTAGCGAGCTATTAGTATGAGATACAATAGGCCCCCAGTGAGCTACAGAAGCTCACTGCTTCTTATAAGCATTCATTTCTTAGGCAGTTGCATAAACAGGCTGGTTCCTGTGAAGAAAGCTGGGATTTTAAAACAGTAGTGAAGAAGTTTCTCTATTTAACCCCGTTTTTTGTAAGAAAACTATTTGAAAAAATACTAGTGTTGCTTTTTTTTATTTTTGCTTTACTGACTCTTATTATCAAGGCCTGAGAGTTTGACTTATATGACCTCTTATGTTTCCTTCGATCACCCCTCACCAAAACACTTAAATCAGTGGAGCACTCTTCTATTGTTGTTGTATGTGTAGATAGGTCAAAGTTTTCTTCATGTCCAGAAGCTTTTTTTTTTTTCCATGTCTCAATGGAGGAAAGCCAACAATGTCTCTATCCACAGCTAAACTAAGAGGGTGATGTAGGATCTGAGAATGGGTTTCTGGTTTTCATGTGTTGTCTATATGCTTACAGGATTTGGCTGAAAATATCTTCAAAGCAGGAGTCAGCTCAACGGTTCTCTATTAAAACATGTTGAACAGTTTTTCCAGGAAATATAGTCGGTTATGTTTGTTTATTTTTTGTTATTTGTAACTTTTATTTATACAGGGTGTCTCATTGAGATCCAAGATCTCATTTAAAAGATAGACATGTTTTGATGAAACAAAGAAAATTACAAATAGCAACAAAACAAGCAATTGAGAAATTTTTTGCCGCCTTTGTTTCAAGACTTGTGTAAAATATAACCTTGCAATAAAATATGTGGCGTTTGTAAAAGCATAACCTCGCTCTGCAAAGTCCTGAAAAAAAACTTCTACATTTGTGAAAAATCTGTTCAATTTAAAAAAAAAAAATATATATATATATATATATATATATATATATATACAAATCACCAGTGCTAAGACAACCACTTTTTTTTTTTGTTTTTTTTTAACCAAAAGGTCTTCTACACAATTTAAGAAGTTTGGATCAAAAACAGAGACAGATCTCTGACCATTCCTCTTTCTACTGTCACAAAATGATCCAGCTTGACACATCCAGGAATATTCTGCCAGTACACTAACCAGTTTTTAGATATAACCAGCCCACAGCATTACACATCCTAACAGTGGGCATGAGGGGCTTTTTTGCACTCATTTGTTGTTTTATGTCAAACTCGCCTAGACTGAAATGACTAAAGTACAGGGTTCTAGTTCTTATCTAAACTTATTTAAAAGTTGTTTTAGTGACCCACAATACTCTGCTCCCAGAAATGATGGCAAGATCAATATGGATCCTCTGCTAGTCTATCTCTAGTCAAGTTGTTTTAAACGTTTTAAATAATTGCTCTCCTGGCAGAAAGTGGAAATATTTGTGAAATCATATTAATCAACTTAAATAAATTCCAATAATTATGCCACTGGTGATTTTGTTACAAACAATTCACTCTTAAAAGTGTTTTTTTTTTTTGTTTTTTTTTCTCCCCGCTGCTAAATAATTGCGCTCAATTTAAAAGTTTGGATGTTTCTGTAATTACAGGGTGAGGTTATGTTACCACAAAGAAAGATGAATTTATTTTGAAGCCTTTCATATGCCATCAGCGCTGCCATTCAACGGGCATAAGTAGTCCAAAATAACAAGGTTTCATCCTTCACACAAGTCCATCCCTTTTTGCCAATGTTTCAAATATGTTTTCCTGGAATGAAACTGACAACTTGTTCGTAAACGTTTTGATTCATGAATCATCACGTCCACACAGATGGAGAACAACACCCCGTGTCTGGGTGAGAAGGTTAAACGTCCACCGTCTCGTGTGGACACGTGAACATATCTGGGCGTTTACTTTGAGCGTCGAGCATTTCGACGTCAGCAGGACCGCAGGAGTTTTCGACAGGCTGGATTAGGACTGACTGACGGCCGCTGTGGACAGTGAGGTTCTTTAGTGTGTGCCTTTTTTGTCTTTCACCCTTGTTATAATTCACTGCTGTTAGATGCAAATCAACTCTTATCGACTTTTCAAACTTTTGAACTTTGTAAGCTTGTAAGATATTGTGACGTCACAAAGTTTTTTGCCCTACTCTCTCTCCACTTCCTTAACATCTGATTCACAGCTTAATGTATGTTGTAAAGAAAAAAAAAACCTCTTTAATTTAATGCAAAATGTAATGAAAAAAAAAAGGAAATAAAATTCTTGTCATGAAAACTTGATTTGTCCTTGCTGTCTCGCTTGCTTCTTTGCCGGAGGCTGTCTAACGTTTACCTTTTGTGCGACATGAAAATAAAAATCTTGCTTCATACAGGATCTGAACTCGTTAGAGAATAATTGTAAGAAAAACATTTCACTTTGTGACCTTCAGCTCTTCTCTCCCTGTGAAAATCTCATGAGTATGAGGAAGCATTCCTTAAACTTGAGACACAAAGCGGGTTTGTGGATTAAAGCTTTTTGAATCTACAGATGCATCTTAGGGAATTAAAATATCATTGAAAAGTTCATTTATTTCAGTAACTCAATTAAAAATGTTTTCATTACACACACTCTAATGTATTTTAAGCTTTTATCTCCATTTAAAACGTATGAAAACCCAGAAAATAATATATAGAAACTAATTACTAAAAGACAAAAGTTATGACATACCAAATCTTATGTAAGATTATTCAATACAGACAGTCATTATTAAAGGTCATTGGTAAAAAGCTAGATATTCAGAGTGCTGTATTCAAGCATATTAATGGAAAGTTTACTGGAGGGAAAAAGTGTGGCGGGACAAAAATAGAACAAGTAACAAAAATACCTACAGCCTTGAAGAGAGATTGAGAACCAAAGCATGTTTAAGAGTTTTGGAGAGATTGATGAGGTGAATCAAATCTTCAACACACAAACACACAAACGCCTCAACAAACTGGGCTTTATTGTTGTATTTCTTTTGTTGATCATTTTGTAGATCCCAGAGTGTGGAGGAAGAATAGAGTGTCTGAATCCAAGCTGCCTGAGATCCAGTGGGAAGTTTCCACAGACACTGATGATTTGACAAGCCGTGGCATCTGCAACTGTCTACAAGGAGGTTTCAGAGCCCTTCATGCTTCCTTCTGCTGACAAGTTTTATGGAGAAACTGATTTAATTCTCCAGCAGGACTTGGAACCCGCCCACACTGCTAAAGACACCGATACCACTGAACCCCTGGGACAGTGCTAAGATGATAAAAGCAACCTGAGACTAATATAGATAAGCTGAAGGCCGTTATTACAGACCCATTCAATAAATTTGCATATTATTAAAAAGTTAATCTATCTCAGTAACTCAGTTCACAAAGTGAAACACATTATATGGATAAATTACACACAGTTGCTTTGTTTTCATTAGCTTAAAGCAAATTAAAGCAACATTTAACTTGGGAGGAAGACCGAATACCAGCACCGCAGGCAATGGAAGGACATGCATTGACTTTTTCACCAGTCAGTGAATGGACCAATCCCAACAAGTCCCATTAGTCGCCATGGCAGTGAGCTAAGATGTTTACAGTGGTGGTGACAATGCTGAAATCACTTTTTAAATGATTACACATTGGCACTGTATGCTAACAGGACCTTTGTGTTGTGGTCTGCTCCAGAGACTCTCCTTCAACCCACCACCGCCTCATGGGCCATTAGTCCACACAGGCAATCAAAAGCTATAATTACATTTCAAAAATATGTCCCCACCGGTGGTTCTGTGTTGTCAGAACAGCATGCAGTGACATGACAACACAGCGAATGATGTTTACTCTCTTTTATTCCTCAAATAGTTATTATTTCTAGACCCAAAAAAAAAGCTTGATGGGATAACCCACATGGAAAAGCTGCACACATTTCACTTCTAATGGTCATTGTTGATATAACCTTTCACCCCTCCATGTTTCTCACTTTTATGGAGAAAAGATAAACTGTTTCTCTCACTGTTTTTCTAATTTTAAACTTTTTTATTATTCCTCCGACTGAATACTGAAGATCATCTAACATCAGCCTAACTTGAATATCGTGTTTTCTTGTCTTTCCCATTTTTATGAGGGACTGAGATAAATGTTCCTCTGTGTCAGAAAGCAAATGACAAATTATCAGACAAATGTTTCCTGATGCAACTTATATAATAAAACATTTGAAAATGCTTCAGCTGCATTTATTTTACAGGAACTGTTCTTATTAAATGGCAATAATCATCTAGTAAAGAATTAATTATATCATGATTTATGTTATTGTAATAATAAAATAAAATAATTTAAAGAAGTTCAATTGGTTTTATTATTTTCCAGTGAGATTATAAATATTGATAAATGATCTGTCTCCAACTGTTGCTCAAACATTCAAGCAAAATACGTAAAATAGCAAAATGCAAGTATAAAGAAATTGATCTAGTGAGCGATGTGAGGTGCATAGGACTGATGCAACAAAAACTTTGCAGAAAACAAAATAAGAGCATAAAAGTCCAAATATTAGAAAGCTGTCTTTAATAAATAAATTGCACCTATTTATTTATTTATTTATTTACTTGCACTTTACTTCTAAGAAGTAAAGTAAAGTTAGGGCACTATTGCACAAGCTGTACTTCATTGGTCACATTTTTTTCTGTAGGGTGATGATGTTACAAAATAAAATGCAAATACCAAGATACCTGAGAACAATCTAGAAATGACTTCAAGAGTTTAATCTATTTAAATATTGAGAAGAGAACTGTGCACAAAATGTTAAATAAATTCCTCTCATCTCCATGATTTAAAGACTAATAAAACATGCCAGGAGGCACGTTTACATTTTTCTCTTTGGTTAGAATGACATTAAAGTAAAAAAAAAACAACCCAAAAACCACATCCCGTACAGCAGCCAGATTGTTTCCCGTTTCAGATTACCTTCTCTAGTTTCTCATGTTAGCACATCATTGGCGCTGTATTGTCATAACATGTAAGCTTAGCGAGTTGTTCATCACTAGTTTCTGACACTGCAGAGCGGAGTCATAAGTTACAATCAGCCAGCATGGCGATCAGATAACCACGGTGTGGTTCAGATAACGAGGCCCGTCGGACTTTACAATACTGCATTGTGTAGCTCCCATCAGGGCAAGTAATGAATCAGAGATCAAGATTCAGATAAGAGTCTATTTCAACACGTTAGGAGCACAACCGAACCTGCAGGTAACTACGGTGAAGAGTATCTTCTACAGAAACAGCCAGAGGGTGTTCCAAAGGTTGCGACTCAAGAGGTCAAGAGGTTTTCAAATAAGACAAACAGGAATGCATGTAAAAGGATGAAACTAACATACAGGAGGTTTTTGGTTGTTTGAGAATCTGTAGCAAGAATTACAAAAATATGTTTGCAGACACTTTCCATCCAATCTAACCAAGTTTGAATTATTTTTACATTTATATACTTCCTTGTGTTTTTTTTTTTTTTTTTTTTTTTTTTTTTTTACCTTTTTTTTTTTTTTTTTTTCCCAATCTGGGG